GCAGGTGGAACTTTAGGGTGGGAGCTACAGGCTCTGGGGCAGCAGCTGGCCTTAGGGCTGAACCTCCCAGCTCCATCTTTTGGGTGCAATGGTAGTTGAACGTCAGGGGGCAAGTGAGTTGGCACTGGACTTAGAGGGCCTACTTAGCAAAGTTTCTGCAGGGCAATTTGGGGAATGGAGGGGACTCTTAGCTCACCCTCCCCCTGCCTGGACCACTACCCACCCCAGACAGGGGTTCCCTCAACTCCCCCCACCCCAGCATCTTTCTGTCTTCTGAATTGGAGCTTTATGTGCAGAGAAGGAGTCAGAAAGGACAGTCAGTAGGGGCTAAGTTTCCCCCAAAGTGTTGGAGCAGAACTGAGCCTAGGTCCTGAGACTTGCAGCTCCCAGCCCAGTGCTCATGCAGCCACATTGAGGGTGCAGGTTAGGAGTAGGTCCTCAGGGGACTGACCTCCCCATCCCTGCTCTTTGAGCTGTTTCCTGTCCCATCTGGGAGTAGCCACAGAAGTCTGACATCCCAGCCCTTGTGAGGCTTTGGTGGGCCTCCATCCTCAGCTTGGGAAAGAGAAGGTCTGGCTCTTTGTCCTCTCCTCCCCCGATGCTGGCCCCAAGGGCAGGTGGTGAGGAGCCTCCCCCACTCAGAACATTCCTCATCTGTGAGGGGGGGTTGGGAGGGCAGACAGGAAGTTGTTCAGGGAAGGAGAAATTGCCTTTGGTCCCACAGGGAGACTCTGTCCCAGCCTGATGGGAGGAGTAGAAGCCCCATCTTCCGGGAGGACCTGATGTGACCAGGGACCCAGAAATGGGATTGTCAAATGCTGAGTTAGGGGGTGTCGTTGTCTGAGCCCTGGTGGGGAGCAAGGGTAAAGCATCCCAGATGCTCAGTGTTCCTGTCCTTAAAAATACCAGGATTGGGCTAGCGTACCATCTCTTGCTACTCTTTTCCATTGTCTTTTCCCCTCAGAGATTTCTTACATAAGCAAAAGAGAAGATAGCAGATAGCAAGGAGCAGAGAGGCTTCTGGAAGCCAGCCTCAAAGATAGGCAAGGTCCTGTGCGCTCATTTATTCATTCGTTTGCCCACACACTAAGCCAGCAGTTGCTGAGCACACCTCTGTGCCTGGGTGTCCATGCCTGGCGAGGGGCAGGCTGACCGGGGTTTGAGGCCCCCACCTGCCAGGCTAGAGGACTGACAAAAATGACTCAGAACAATTAGAGAGAAAAGCTGAACCGTGGATGGGAAGCTCTGCTCACAGCCTGCCCTAACACAGCCTGGCACAGTCCCTATTGAAAGAAACCGCAAGGGTCTGTGGGATCATAGAGGAAAGACCTGACTCAGGGTGAGGGTCAGGGGAGGCTTCCTGGAGGAGGTGGTCTTGAGCTGAGGACCCATAGGCATTAGCCAGGCTGTGAGGGGGTGGAGGATGAGGGAAGGGAAGGGGACGAGGGGACAGGAGTCAGAAAGAGCAGGTTTCTGGAGTAGATGTTTGGAGGTCCCTGGCCACAACAGTCCTGTCTAGCTACGAAACCCTGTGGTATTTTGAACTTGGATCTTCCTCAGTTCCTGGGAAGAACGAGACCCGGCCAAGCTGAGGATGAGGCTCACCCTCCAACGGGATCATGGTGACCCTTTCTCCAAGAAGGGATGGGTGATAAGGGTGTGAGATCGACCCTAGGAATCTTCCACCAGGGAAGGCACCGTCTGCCACCCTGCCCAGCAGCACCTTCCTCCTGTCCTCCACCATCCTGGCACATGGGGGTGCCCAGACCTTCTAGCACTGGTCTGACTCTGTACCCCTGTGAGGGGACTGTCAGTCACTGATGCTCTCTAAAGAACCTCTGAATGCCTATTCAGACCCACCCACCAAAGACCCCAATTATCCCCAATTTACCAATGGGGAAACTGACCCCCAAGGGTTAGAGACCCCCAAGAGTTAGGTTGCTTCCTTGAGGACTCACAGCAGACTCACATCAGGGCTGATTTCAGGGTGTTCCACTTTGCCAGTTACTATCATCTGAAGCTATGGTATTGCCTTGGAGGAGGGGGGAGGGTTTGACTTCAAAGCACGCCAGGCAGGAAGCGTCCAGAGGAGCCCAGGGCGCCTGGTGCAGAGGGTAGTAACATGATGGGGGTGGGGGCTGGGGGGTGGCGGGCATCCACCCAACCCAGACCAATTTTGTTCCTAACATTCCCACCACACTCTCAGCCCAACGGTGGGAAGGAGAGAGGACTCCCACGGTGTCCATGGGAAGAAATACCAAGGCCTTTGGTCTCCTTTACCAGCTGCTGGCCTCTCTCCTGGAGTCAGAGGAGGAGGTGCAAATCCAGAGTCTAGGTCGGAGCCAGGGTTCACAGCCAGGCCCTGACCCCCAGTTTAATATTCTGCCTGCTTTCCTTGCTACGCACCACCATAGCAAGGGCTTCTTAAAGGCTGGGTCGTGTTTCCTGGGTATGTAAGGGTCACTATGCCTTGGCTCCCAGGGGTCCCACTCCCCCACCTAGTATCTGTTCACTTTACACTCTCGGACAACTCAGGAGATAGAACTTGGAAATTTGAAGAGCCTGGAGATTTCTCTCTCATTTGCTTCCCCTGGAGGGAACAGGATGCTGTATAACAGAACCTAGCCCTGGGGGCTTGGGAGCCGTAGGCACAGGCCACCTGCTGGGGTGGAGGGGATATGGGTCAGGGGAGCCAAGGGTCTCCTGGTGAGGTCTGTTGAGAATGGAACTGCCATCTCACAGGGGCCATGGCTAGTCAGCCCAATTCCCGTGTCTCCTAGCCTAGAATGAGGGATGAGCTGGTGATCAGGAGAGTTCGGGGTACTCAGGGGGGCATCTCAGTACCCAGCGATATCCACTCTGCCCCAGAGCGAGACCCCAGGCTCTCCCAGGAGGCCTTCATGGCCCCTTTGACTCTGGACAGCTGCCGCACCTGCTATGGCCAGTGTTCATTGGCTGCTTCAGCTGCCAATCATGAGCTGGCTGTGCCTTTCTACCAATGGGAATGACTTCTTGGCTCTGCCTCCAAGCCCTGGCTGGCTGGATGCTTGCAGAGAAAGGCCTGGGCACCACCCTGCCTCTTGCGTGAAGCGGGGACCATGCCAAGGAAGCCGTGCTCCTTCCAGTCTCGGCAGCAAGATGCCCTGAGGGATGATAGTTGTTCTCCCATCCAAAGAGCCTGCCAAAAAAGCTTGGCCCAGACCCTGCCCCTCTTCTAGGATGACCTGGTTTGGCCCCCGACCCTTGTAAAGGCACTTATTCCTTCCTCAGCAGAAGGCATTGAGGCCCTCCTAGAAGCCCAGTTCTGTGACCAAAACCAAGGTTACAGAGCTGAACCCAACGTAATAATCTGCTGGGGAGTGCTCAAAGTCAAGTTGGTGCCCGTGATTGGGGGTGGGGCAGGGGTGGGGGACCGACTTCTAAAACAGAGGAGTGTAATCATCTGTTACCAGAGGGAAACCCAAGGACAGGAGGAGGGGTCAGTTCTGTGAAGGGAGGAGGATGGAGAGGGTGGTCAGGGGTGCACAGAGAATCCTGGAATATTTTCTCTGGAAGGGACCTCAGGAAGCAAAGCCTAGCCCTCTCATTTTGTGAATGGGGAAACTGAGGCCCAGGGTGGGGAGGTGACGTAGCCAGGGTCACTCAGTGAGGTAGTGGCAGGCTCTCAGACCCCTGGTGGCCAGCCAGGGACCTTTTGATGGTACCAGGCTCCCTTTCTGGTTTTCTGAATCCCAACCCTTGTGTCCTAACTGCACTTTTGGAAAAACATTTGACATCTCTATCCAGCAGTCACCCCAGAGGTGCCTGCTCAGGCCCGAGGAGCCGGGCGCTGCCAGTCCTTCTCCTCTCGGCCTAGAATGGGGTGGTTGCGTTTTTCTCTCTCTCTCTCTCTCTATCTCTTGCATTTTTGTGAATCTAATGATGAACTTACGCTACCACACTTTTCCCTTCTCTTACACATCTTACCTACTAAAGGAGGAAGTGCCACTTTATTGGTAAGTGGACGTTAACCAAGAGGGACTTAAAAAAAAAAAAAAAGAAATTAAAAAAAAAAAAAAAGGAAAAGAAAAGAGAGAAACAGAAAGACAGTCGGGTGCTACTGACAGTTCCACAGGTCTCTGCAGGGCCGGAAAACAAAGAAAGAAAAATGTTAACAGAAAAAAATGTCAGTTCCCCAGGAGTTCAGACATTGTTTTTGATTTTGGTATCTAATGACATTTGTGGATTTTGGTTTTGTTTTGTTTTTATTTTATTTTTTCTGTTTTTCCTCCCTTTCTTCGGTTCAGTTTTGAGTTCAGTTGTCCCGCCCCGCCCCCACCCCATCTGTGTGCCGTGTGCCCCTTCCATCCCCTCACCCACCCCCACGCGCTGGGGGGCCTGGCCTGGGGGGGCTGGCCCTGGCTCGGCCTCCCGGTGCCCTCCCTCTCTCTACTCTCTGCCGGGATCGTCCGTCCCATCGGGGGGCCAATGCCAGCCCCCGTGCCCGTCCTGGAGCCCCCTCCGTTTCAGCCCCCCTCCCCCCACCGCTCCGTCCCTCTTGTGTTTTGCATGCCGAGAACCTTGCATGAGCTGCACTGTTGAGGCCAGAAGGTGGACACTCAGGAGAGGCAGAGGCAGGGCAGGCGCGGGGAACCGTTTGTGCGATGCTCCGGGACTGGCAGCCCCCGGCCTGGGCCCGGTGAAAGCCCCCTCTCCTTCTCTCCCCCCACCCCACCCGCCCGCTCTCTCGCCCTCGACATCGCTCCTTCTCTTGGTCTGTCCTCTCTGTCTCTCCTCTTTCCCTCTCTCTGCCCGCCTCCGTCTCTTCTCCCTGCTTCTCTGACTCCCCCCTGCTCTGTCTCCTCCGGCTGTCCCTCTCCCTCTGTCTCTCTCTCTCTCTGCTCTGGACTCTCGGCCCCTCGCTTCTCTGTCTCTGCGGGCGTCTCTCTCGCCCCGTCTCTGTCTGTGCCTCCGTCCCCTCTCCACCCCCTCCGTGCCCTCTCTGCCTCTCTCCCCGTCAGAAGCCCAGCTCGCCCTCGCCCAGGGCCCGCGACCAGGCGGAGGCCGGCGCAGCCACGCCGCCCGCGCGGGGCAAGGAGAGCCCGAGCCCGCGCTCGGCGCCGTCGTCTCAGGGCAGAGGAGGCC